AACCTTGAACACACGTTCAGTTTTGGTGTCGTAAGTAAAACATTTGTGCTGCTTCTCAGTAAGATACTTGAGAAGACATTTAAATCCGTCCAAGGTTTCAGCCAATACACGGCATTCACCCCGACGTCCAATTTGTAGTGAAAAATTCAAAAGTTCCATGCGAAGAGCATGGAAATCGGAAGTGGTTATCACAATAGGGGGAATCTTTTCCTTCTTGGCATTAAGCCGGGAAAGTTTACTAGAATTTTTCTTGGATGATGGATCATTCTCATCATCCGTGATCAAATCAAATTGATTACTCAAATTAATTTCATCAGAAGGGGGGTCAAGAGTTTACCCCTTTCTTTTGCGTTTATCCAAATTGACCTCCAAGCAGATTACTATAAGAATTTGAAGGATCAATGAGGAATTTTCCAAATCGATATCCAAGAAGGATTACCACGGGTAAGGCCCAAACAAGGATCGAAGAGGAATAAGAGTTGAACAAGGTAGAACTATTTTTTTACAGGTTGAGCACTGAAAAGTGCTGTTTAAATTTGTTGTAGCTTTAGGTAGTACAGGGTGTCTACTACCTGACAAAACCTGGAAAACCGGGAATTTACAGGGAATTTATTTTTTTCTGGAAAACCTGGAATATTCAGGGAATTTTGGTTCCACTCAGGGAATTTTCCAATTATCACTTCATTCGTAATTCAAAAGAAGTTTTTCGTTCAGTTTCTCGAAACGTTTCTTAAGGAGACTGAACTTCACAAGCATCTGACAGCTAAGAAAACGTGTGCGAACGAGGCAAGTTCATTAGAGAGTCTTGTCACGCTCGCTCTTCGCTGATTTGTATGTGGAGGATCAAAATCGTCGTAAAAAGGAAACAGCCGAAAAAGAGAGACTGGCAACTGTCAAAAGGAAGCATACGTCGCATATATTGTATAAGAATAAGCATGCCAGACAGCAGGTCTGAGAGTCTACAGAGAATTTTTTTTGGGCTTCAGAGAAGGCCGGAGATCTACTGAGAAATTTGTTGAGCTTCAGGGTAGTTCGTAGATCTTGAGAACAGAACTACAAACAAATTAAAAGTAATTAACAGAAATTCATAAAAACAAAATCACAAGAGAGGTCGTAGATCTTCAGATAAATGTTCAAAGAAATTTTCAAAACTTCAAGCAAGCAAAAATAATTGAAATCAGTTTGTAAAACTATAAGCGAAATTTTGCAAATCTTCAGGGAAATTCGCATAACTTCAGACAAGTTCAAGAATCTACAGTGAAATATAAAGTATTTCACAGAAGTTTGGAGATCCTCAAAACATTATTCAACAATAGAAAAGCTCGTAGATATTCAGAACAAAGCTACAGAACTTAGAAAAAATTACAGGACATCTGAAAAAATCACAAGAATGTCAGAAATGTTAATGGATCTTCAGTAAAAATTGCAAAACTTCAGGGAAGTTCGGCGACTTAAAAAAAATTACACAATTTCAGGAAAATTCGTAGATCTTGAGAGAGACATTTTAAACTTCAAAGAACCTCAAATATTTTCAGATAAATTTTGACAACTTTAGGTAATCTTCAAGGAAATTTTTAAATCTTCAGGGTAACCCGAGAGGAATTTACAAAACATCAGAGAAGTTTGCAGATCTACTGAGAAATTTATTGAGCCTCAAGTTTTTTTTTTTTGTAGATCTTGGGAATGGAGCTACGGAGCTTAAGACAAATTTACAAAACTTTAAAGATATTTGCAGGAATTTGACAGAAAGTTTCACAGTTTCTCACAAATGTGTGATCATCAGAAAAATTCGTTATATGTCAGTAAAGCACCTCAATTCCAAAAACAAATCGCAGCGAAGTAAAAAAGTACAATATTTTGCAGAACTCCATGAAAGTCGGAAATAGATAGATCTAAAGAACTTCAGAGAAGTCCGTAGACCTTAAGAGAAGTCCGTAGACCTTAAGAGAAGTCCGTAGACCTTAAGAGAAGTCCGTAGACCTTAAAAAAAAGTCTGTAAAACGTCAGAAAGTTGGTACGTTTTTAGAAAAATTTGCAAAACTTCAGCAAAATTCACAGATCTTCGGGAAAGTTCACTGATCTTTAGATCAAGAATCCACAAAGAAATTTAAAGAACTTTAGAAAAGTTCGAAGATCTACTGTAAAAATTTTTGAACTTCAAGGCAGTTCGTAGATCTTTAGAGCAGAAATACAGTACTTCAAAAAACCTTTACAGAATTTGAAATAAATTTTAGAAACTTCAGAAAAGTTCAGAGGGTAGATCGTAAATCTACTCAAAAATTAGCAGATGTTTTAATAAATTTTCAGAATTTTACTGCAGTTCTTGGATTTTGAAAGACATTTACAGAACTTCAGGTAAGTTAGCTGATCTGTAGAGATATTTGCACAGCTTCAGAAAAAATAAAAAAAAAAAACGTCAGAATACTTCCTAAAACTTCCGGAAAGCTCAAAAATTTCTAGATAATCTTTTAATTCTTTAGAAAATTGTATAGATGTTCAGAGATATTTGCAGATATTAATTGAACCATGAAAATCTACAGAGAAAATTACAGAACTTTCGAGGAGTTTGTAGATTATTAGAAATTTTGTGAACATCAGAGATAATTTTTGATCTTCAAGGATCTTCAATCTTCAGGGATTCAGGAACCTTGTAGATCTTTAGGAAAATTTTCAGAACTTCTGAAGAACACACAGAACTTCAAAGAAATCTGTAGAACTACCGAGAAATTTGTAGATTGTCAGGAAAGATTGTTGATCTTTAAAGAAATTTTACCGGCGAACAGAAACAAAACTTCAGGGACGTCAGAAGGTTTGAAGACCTTGAAGAATTGAGTTGTTAACAGAAATTTTCAGAACTCAAGGAAGAACTTCTCCCACTAGCTTGTCTAAAGTTGGTATCGACATCCTGGCGAAGTTTTGAAATTCATTTTCATCTTCATATCGCAGCTCTTGATGGACAATATGAGCCAGATCCCTGCCGATGTTCCTCCTGAGCAACCATTTCCTACTCCACAAAGTTCATCTTCTCTTTCTCATTTTATTTAAAATAATAAAAGCAAATACGTCTGCCGAAATTAGAGCAATTTTCCGGTAATGGAAGTAGTTACTTTTGATTCCTGATACAGTTTTGTATTAAAATCTAAATTGACAGTTCTTTATAGATGTGCAAGCAGTGTGAACACCAGCAAACAGGGGGGTTCGACAAAGTGTTTCAAAAGTAAATTCGAGCAGATTTTTCACTATGGTGGCGGTCAAAATTAGATAGTCTAAACGGATCTTAAGAGATTTTAGACATGTGAAACCATGATTTATTCTGTCTTGATCTTCCAAACAGAGTTGGACTCAAACATATTATCAAAATGATATTTTGTTTTTGAAAGCATATTGTTATCAAATTTTGATATATCGTTTTATGGAAATAGTATAGACAGGTTTCTAGCTTGTATTTATATTCTTGATTTAAAAAAAAATACCACACAAATACCAAAAAAGAATGTAATATTTGATTAACGTAATGCATGCTACTGTTTGAATAACTAATGTGATTGCAAAAACCAAATACAATATTACACCCATGGATATAATTTCTTTTCGCAAATTATGTGTAGGATAAATGCACCAATAGTGGAGGTACTTTAGAGCAATGTGTTCCTATGGTGGCTTATAGAATCTCCCTAAGCCGCTATAGAAGTACATTGTACTAACGTATCTCCACTTTTGGTGCATTTACTAAACATAAATTGTACAAATTAATATTAAACAACCTATGTGCATCTGTTCTGCTGTAATATTCAATCACTTTTTTGCTGTGCCGACTTATAAGTACCAACGCCCAAGTTTAAACAATCGAAAATAACATAAATCAATAAGTACATAAAATGGATTCCAGATGGATAAATAGATAAAATAATAATGTGTATAATTTGTATGCACCTGGAATTTTTTTCATCCGACCTGGAAAAACCTGGAAAACTCAGGGAATTTGATTCCTTGGATTGAGTAGACACCCTGTAGTAGTAACACTTCCTTCAGCAAAAAGCAAATAGATCCGCACGGCAAGAGAGCACGATGCGGACTGAGTTGCATACATCTGTGATTCTGTATCACCTCCACTCTATTCTGCTAAAAAAAAAGCGAGCTTTTCTCATTATAGGAATCTGCCAAAGAACCATACTCATCAAAATTAATCTGTTTCAATTTTCATCTCCATTCAATTCTCTATTACCTATTACCCACATTCTTGTTTTCGTTCAAACCATTCGAACCATACAAAAAACATATCTTCATTACAGAGGGTCAAGTTTAAAACCCCCTGCTTCCCACTGCTTTTCTATTTGTATTTAGGTCCTCAACAACTGTGCCAAATTTGGACGAATTTGGTTCTCATCTGGATTTGCGGGAGAATGAAAAAAAAATACACACATTAATCTATACCTGAGATTAAGATTAAAACAAACTATGCAGAACAACTTTGTCAAAAACCACAAATTGATTCGATTTCAGTTAAAAAAAAGTTAAAAAAATATAGAACATACATCATTTAGCGGGCACCTCAAGCGCAAGCACGCTGTTCTAAAGTACGTTTGGTAGGAACACGCAGAGCACTAGACCAGAATTAAATAATGATTAACATTTTACACAGATGTTGAATCGATTTGCGATCTTCAACAAAGTTGTTCTGCATAGTTTGTCCAATATAAGCATTTGATTCCAATTTGGCTTTAAGTTCCGCAAAAAAAAAATGCAACCAAATCATCTAGTTTCCGTATGGTTATGTCCTAACAGCTAATAATAGACTGCTAATAATTCTAAATCTTGATAATCCTTTCACACGCATGAAGAGTTTTCTGTATCATACAAAATCCAAACGCGCACTAATTTCCAAACCCACTTCAAGACGCTCTATCCCAAATCGCTTTCTCTGTGGCTTTGCCCGGCAATAACAAGAGATCCATCAAAATCACCAAAACAAATACCCTCATTGCCTTCCTCGTCAACAGTGTCTAACCTCGTCCGAATGCTGCTCCGGATCGTGCCTGAGCTACTCGTACAAATGCGTGACCAATCGACAACTGCAAACATCCGGGGGTTTCTTACTGCCCCGGCCAACACCTGTAAACACCGTTATGAATTCCGGTGGGTTCGCCAATCGCTTTGATGGTACCAGTGACTCGTCTTCATCTCCTCCGCAGAAATGCGCCGCAGTTGGCGAATATGTAATTATATCCATCAGCTTTCAATTACACAGACGACAATCTTTTCCGTGCCAAACAGCGCTAAAATCCCCACCTCTCGCGATGCAACCGGCAAACTGACCTTAAGACGGTATTAACTCATTAATATTTGATTCCTTCTTCTCTGCTTATTTTCATGTCATGCCATGTTTGCACCCTCTCCTCACGATGCGAATAAAAATCTGCAGTGCCTCACGGCAGCCGATTGCTGTTCCCGGAGCTGTCTGAGCTTCTCGTACAAGTGCGTCCAGAACTACAATCTAGGAACACAGCAGCTGACATCGTCGGGAATTCCAGTTCAACAACCTGCCATTAATAACATCGACACGTCCAATCGTTTCGGCACCAGCGACAGGCAATGTCTCACTAATGGACACTACGTAAGTTGGTTTTATGATTGGACGAGTTTTAGGAAAATGCTAAGACGCAACTAGCTAAGTGTCTTAGGCGCGAGTTCATGTTTACTAGTTTGGTGTTCATCCCGGAAGGGTGTTGGTAGTTGTTTTGAAAACATTATCTGAAATACGATAATAGCCAATTGAGATGGCAATGGCTGATTGAAACGCAATTCGAACCACATGCGGTAAACACCAATTGGAAACGAGGCATTTTTCCAAGAAGTTCTTCATCACCGATTTGACCGTCAAAAGGCGCATCCACCCCTGCTCCAGTGACGCATGCCATTTGAAAAAAAAAACCCGTGATGCCTTTTTTTTCTAAACTTGTTATTCTGGTTCTGGTTAATTCCATTAATAATTCTTCTTTTGCTTTCTTTCATTATATCTTCCCCACATTATCAGTGCTTCCACAGCAAAGAGTGCTGCTCGGGAGCTTGCTTCAAATCATTCTGCGCGACTCAAATCAACCTTGGAGTTCCCGAGTCGGAACTGACACGGCCCTCCGCCGCCAACGGACCGTTCGTGCAGGTCAACAGTTTGGATGAACTGATAACGCGCTTCGGCGGTGGGGCACCGGCACCTTCCAGGGATTCCAGCGCCAGTGCTTCGCTGAAACGGGCCAACATTGGAGCGCGGAGTGGAGCCGAAAAGCACTGTGCAGTCGTTGGTGAAGGGGTGAGTGAACTTGTAATTATAAGACTCTACTTCAAAACTGTCTTCATACGCATGATACTCTAAATTCTATCTGGTTTTACTGAACCTAAATCGAAATTTTGCTGACAAGGACAAATTAGCGTTTGAAAATGTGAACCCTGAATTTGAAATAGGTTCAGCTAGCTGCCCCTTGTAACAACGAACGGGTCGGTCATTTGTATCCCGAACGATTTCGTCACACTTTCGCTTTCCACTTGCGGGTCGAGCGAGACCAACTGAGTGCCGAAAGCGGAAAACGATCGTTTGCGTGCCTAGATTTGATTACGCGATGCGGGAGTTTTCTGTGTGGTGATTAATTGCAATAAAGTTTTTTTTTATGGCGTTATTTCCCGGGTTGAACTTTTTGGGAGAACTTGTGGGACAGGGAAAATGGAAATTAGAAGTTCATGCCTGGCAATTATTCACGGAAGCTCGGTTACTCTCTAGAAAAAAACAGAGAAAGACAGAGACGTGTATTTCGTGTACAATACGCAGTCAGTTTCTAATACTCGGCTAAATCTACGGACGAGCCAAGTTTTAGTACCGGACACTGAAGTATGTGTATCTATCCAGGATAAGCAATTAAGTTACTGGAATTAAATGGAAATGACTAATCCTTGTTTATGTTCGATGGATAATTTCACTGAAATTACTGAACATTTTGATTTGATTTTGCTTTTGGTGGACAATTGATATAATTTATGAAGAGTACTGGAAAATTAAAAATCAAAAGAAAAGAAAACAATCAAAACATTTCAATTAATTAAAAAAAAAAAACGATAACAGTTGGGAATAATTATGTTTAAGCAAATGGCCAATATCTTTTAAAGTACATTATGGTTTCATTTGTAACCAGTTTCTTCAAAAGTTTTGTAAATTTTCGATAAAAATCACCAAAAGTTGTAAAAAATTTCATTCGAACTTGCGTCAGATTTCCTTTAACCCTTAGTCTGTCTGTACCTTGGGGTCAATTTGACCCCAGGCCACTTTGAAAAACTGTAGGTCGAAAGAATCGGTATTAGTATATGTGTCCATTTACCGTTCTCTCTCGTGTTCCACTCCTGTTGCCACTTAGCCAATGACTCCACTCTCACAACTTTCCGTGCTCTTCCGGCTTCCCTCCGCCTGTAGCACTCGGTGTCCTCCGCCAAGGTGATGCCGATAGGGATCATTCCGGCGATAACGCATACTGCCTCCGACGAGATGGTTCTGTACGCAATCACGACTTGCATGGCCATGAGCCGAAACGTACTGCTCAGTTTGCTTTGGTTCTGCTTCGTTTCCAGTGCTGCAACCCAGGTTGGACCTCAATACCTCAGTATCGATGACGACACACTGGCCAGAAGACGCCTCTTACTACTGCTGGGACCAGCGTTGTTCGACATGATTCTAGCTATCGCGTTGATGGCCTTTGAACCCTTCTCACAGGCATATTCGACGTGGCTGTTGATGATTAGGCGGTCATCGATCATCACTCCCAGGTATTTCCACATACGCTTCGAGGCTATGGCGTGCTCCCCGACGGTGATTTCTGCCCGCTGTACCGCTTTACAGTTACTGACCAATAACACTTACGTTTTGTGGTGGGCTATCTGCAGCTTCGCTCGTTGCATCTAGTTACCAATCATGTTGATCGCCTCGGTCGCCAACACTTCCACCTCTTCCAGCGTCTCGCCTGTTACCGTCAAAACGACGTCGTCCGCAAAGCCAACGATCTCAACTCCTTTGGGCAGTTACAGCGTTAGCACGCCGTTGTACATCCCGTTCCAGAGCGTTGGACCAAGGATGGAGCCTTGTGGAACTCCCGCTGTGATATTAATTGATCTCTGGCCGATGTCTGTCTTGTAGATCAGAACCTGGTTCTGGAAAAAAAAAACTTCTCAGGATCCTGCACAGGTAATCAGGGACTCTCATCCTATGCAGCGCTTCGGCGATGGCCTCCCGAGGTTAAAGTTTGCAGTTCCTATCATAATGAAAACTCATTTTGATTTCAATTCTCGCGACATAAGTCTGATATCATATTGTGCTTTCATTATGCAGTCAAAACTTTTTAAATGAAAGCAACTTAACTTGAAGTTTTGCTGTTAACGTCTTGTTTAAAATTTAATTTAAGTTTGAGTCAACAGTGTAAAATTTTGCTCTCATTTTTGCTGTGTTATCCGTTAAGTCAACCAAAATGAGATCAACTGGAGTATTCAAAATAAGTTACATCATAACAGCAAATTTTGATTTCAATTTGATATCCAGCTTTGCTCGGGGCTCCCAGCTGGCGCTGTTGAACGCATTCTTGACGTCGATCGTTATCACGGCGCAATATCGATCTCCTTTCCGCTTCTGTTTGGACGCCTTCTCGGCTCTCTCGACCACTGTCCGAATTGCATCCACAGTCGATCTCCCTTTCCGGAATCCGAACTGCCTTTCCGACAATCCGTGCTCACTCTCCGTTGATTTCGTCAGCCTGTTTAGGATGATCCTCTCCAAGAGTTTTCCGAGTGTATCCAGCAGGCATATAGGCCTGTACGATGCTGGATCCCCCAGCGGTTTTCCTGGTTTCGGCAGCAACATCAGCTTCTGTATCTTCCACCTGTCAGGGAAGTGACCCTCGTCCAGGCATTTCTGCAGCACCATCCTGAACATGTCCGGGGGTGCCTGGATCGGCGCTTTCAACGCTACGTTGGGGATTCCATCCGGACCGGGAGCTTTCTTCACCGTCAATCCTTTCGCCACTGCTACGAGTTCCTCGTTGGTGACTTCGACGTTATCTCCCGCTCCTTCTCCGTACGGTGTAGGTGGCCAGGTCGTTGGGTCGTGCTTCGGGAATAGTCCTTCCACGATGACTTTCAGCTTCTCTGGACACATTTCAGCGGGCATCGTTGGACCTCTGATCTTCGCCATCACGACTCGGTATGCGTCGCCCCAGGGGTTGGCATCAGCGTCTCGACACAGCTCCTTAAAACAGTTTGACGCTCGAAACGCTCCTCTTCGTTCCTCTCTGTCTGCTTCCGTTCTTGCTCCAATTATCCACACTTCAAATTAGTTCTCGCTTCAATTCTGTTACGACGCGTTGTTCAGAGGTGGCCGTGATAGTTGATCACTGTAGTACGCGACTATCGTGGTAAAAGGTTAACTAGACAATCAAAAGGACAACCTAAATTTAGGACGGTATCCGGTTATGATGGCGATGACGGCTATCGTATCGACAGCACAGCTGTCAACGATGAGCCCAGGAAAGCGATGGAACGTTATGGCACAGGCAGTGTTCCCAGCGCTTCTGTTTCGGTTGCCCCAACATCTCCCCTCTAGAACCGATGATACAGGTTGAAACTCTGAGGCGGTCTTCTAAGTCTCGAAGAACGCCTTGGTAGCTGTACTTTTGGCTGCACCGTTGGTGTGCTTGCAGCAGCCGATTCGAAGCTGGAAGATGTGGTACTCGAAGACGAGGACGATGACGACATGTCCGTGCTGGTAGCCGGACTAGTAGGTGGAGACAACGTTGGGAATTCGTGTTCGAATAATGTCGCTTGCAGTCGTAGTTGCTGGATTCCACGTATCGAATAGAGCTTGCAGCGGAAGTTGCTTATGCTTCGATGACTGGCTGGATCCAGGACCTTGATTCGAGCAGACTGACGTTCTACTCCTCAGCTGGTTCAGGTGCGATCGGACTAAGCGACGACTATCGGTCAACACGTTGTACATCACTCGTCCTACTCTTTCAATAACCGTTCCAGGAACCCAGTTCCAGGTGTTCTTGGTGTAGATCTTGGCGTAGACGAGATCACTTGGACTAAAGGACCTCATACTGGACTTCTTCTGGTCGGTGGACGTTCTGGTGATGGACGTAGCAGTTCGAGACAGGTGCGTAAACGTCGTCCGAACATGATCTCCGACGGGGATAGACCTTCTGGCGCTGACCGGTTAGATGTGCTTCGGTAGGCCAGCAAGAACGTATCCAAGGCTTCATCGGTCGAACTTCTCCCCTCTTCAAGCTTCTTGATCGCTCGCTTGAACGTGTCGACAAATCGCTCTGCTTGGCCGTTTGATTGTGGGTGAAACGGTGCAGTTGTTACGTGGTCGATTCCATTCGTCTTGCAGAACTGAGCGAATTCCGAGCTTGTGAATTGGGTGCCATTATCTGACACCAACGTTTCCGGCATCCCATCCTCGTCGCCACTGTTACGACGCGTTGTTCAGAGGTGGCCGTGATAGTTGATCACTGTAAAATAACATTAACGCGCACGTAAACGATAAAAACTACATTTATTAAAATACGCGACTATAGTGGTAAAAGGTTAACTAGACAATCAAAAGGACAACCTAAATTTAGGACGGTATCCAGTTATGCTGGCGATGACGTCTATCGTATGACAGCACAGCTGTCAACGATGAGCCCAGCAGGAAAGCGATGGAACGTTATGGCGCAGGCAGTGTTCCCAGCGCTTCTGTTTCGGTTGCCCCAACAAATTCACTCAAGTATTTAATTTAATTATCCAAATTACACTCTTCTATACTGACCCTACTAGATCTTTTATCCAATTGTTCTGATAGTTTCTTTGTTTTTCTCTTCAGCTCAATTTTCTCACTCTCCCTTTTTCTTCCGTTTAACATTTTTACATTTTATGCTTTGCTGTCATATCTGTCATGCTGCTTACCGAGTCACGCAAAGGGCGGAACCGGAACTCACTTGACAGCCCGTGACGACTGCCCAGTGGGTTCGCCAACATCCCCTCGCCCGTGCAGTTCCGGTTCGCCCGAGACATACACTTCCGGTCCTCCTGATGCATCAAGGTAGCGGCTCGGCTGATCGTTCCTCTTGACGTGTTCACCACGGCCCGTCGAACTTGCCCGTCCTTTGCCTCGAGTCCATCCGTTACGCTTGCCTTCATTGACTACCACCACCAGGTCACCGGGTTTCACCGGTTTCACCGGCTTGAACCATTTGGTGCGCCGTGTCAACGTGGGCAGATATTCGCGACTGCAGCGACTCCAAAACGTGTCGATCAGATGCTGCGCCAGTTTCTAGCGGTTTGCGGATTCTTCCGCCAAATTCCGAAGAGGCTGGTTCACGCCTTTCATTCCGTGGAAGAGTAGGAAGTGGTTTGGCGTAAGTGCTTCTTGTTCTGCGTGATCTAGCGGAATGTACGTGAGTAGTCTCTAGTTTACTATCGATTCAGCTTCGAGCACTACAGTCTCCAGAACCTCATCGCTGGGATGGTGTGGATGCTCTGCTAACGCTGCCATGGCTGCCTTCACCGATCTTACCATGCGCTCCCATGGTCCTCTCAGGTGGGGCACGAGTGGTGGATTGAAGAGCCATCTCGTGTCTGAATTCGTAAACGTTGCTGCACAGTGTTCGTAGATTACTCGGAGTTGCTCTTGCAACAAGTTGTTTGCTCCGACGAAATTAGTTCCGTTGTCGGAGTAAAACGTCGCTGGTGAACCTCTGCGCGCCACGAATCTTCTTATGTCCATTACGCACGACTGGATAGACTGGCTGCGTACAACTTCCAGGTGCACCGCTCGGACTGACAGGCATGTGAACAGCGACCCCGTTTTACGAAAGTTGGTCCAAAATAATCTACCCCAGTGTGCGTAAATGGGCGTATGTACGCGGTTAACCGAATTTCTGGAAGTGGTGCCATGATCGTAGTCTGCGATGCTGCGTTTCTAATTTTACAGAATTGGCATTGCTTGGCGATTTTTGCTACTACTACGCGTAGTTGTGGAATCCAGTACCGCTGCCGGATCTCGTTCACGACAGTCTGGTGGTTTCCATGCAAAAAACGAACGTGGTAGCTTTTTACGAGCAACTTGGTCACCCGATTATCCTTTGGAAGAAAGATTGGGTACCTTGCATTTAATGCCAACATAGGTGCCGCTGTAATGCGGCTATTCATTCTGAGGACACCGTCATCGTCTAGCATAGGAGACATTCGGTAAAGCGCGCATTTTCTATCAATCAGCTTCGGTTCCGCTTCTGGATGTGTTTTGTTGTATATGAGCGTTGCATACTCGTCCGAATACTCCTGCATCTGCATCTGTCGCCAAATCAGTACTTCCACTTTCTTCAATTCTTCTTGCGTCAAATGACCCTCCGGTTTTAGTCCCCGGATTCTTTTGATCGCCCTGATTACGTACCCGGCTGTTCGATGAAGCCTAGACCATCTGGAAAACCGTTCTACATTTATTAGCGACTGTGGCATGGTTCGATGATGAAGAAAGACAGCGCGAAAATCCTCCTCGGTGGTAAACTCCTTCCTTGTTTCTGTCTGCCAGGTTTCATCTGATTCTCTCAAAAATTTCGGTCCGGTGTACCACCAGTCCTGTGGATTGAAGCTGGGTCCGTCTCCCCATTTCGTGGCTAGGCTTTTCGCCAGTTGTGGACAGTATCTCTCCAACCCGGAAGCCAACGAACTGATGGTAGCGTCGAGTTTCGGATCTCTGTCGAAGAGTCAGACCATAGGTATCTAGCAGCCACTGGTATTTCCAACGCCTTGCAGATACTTTCCAACAGTCGGGAACCGATTAGGGCTGCTTGTAGCTCCAGCCGTGGAATTGAGATAAGCTTCAACGGCGCTACTTTTGTCTTCGCTGCTATCAGTGTACATCGAGGTGCTCCGTCGAAAAAGCTACGGAGGTACGCAACGCAAGCGTACGCATTTTCACTCGCATCCACGAAGACGTGTATTTGGGAATCCTGTGGTGTGGCACTTGTCTTGGAAAAAAGCATCTTGGGACGCGAACTTCGTTAATTTTTGTTAGAAGTCCGCTCCACTTGCGCCAGTCTTCTAGTATTTCACAGTTGATCGATTCGTCCCACAGCGATCCAGTCCTCCAAATTCTAGTCCTAACGGATCGAAAAGTGACATGATCGTTCGTAGCACTTGACGTTTGGTAGGTGCTTCCTGACTTTCAACGATGCTTCGTACTTCTACCTTCAAGCTGTTGTCAAAGCTGAAGATATCCTCCGAAGGTCCCCACACCATTCCAAGTACTCTTTCGACCTTCGCTTCAATATTCATTGACTTCTCCTGGACTTTGCTGCTTTCACCAATCAGTTCTAGCACCTCGGTGGAATTTGATACGAAGTTCCGAATTTCCATGCCAGCCATGGAGTGTACGTATTTAACGTCTTCGATCAGTCTCACCGCTTCTTCAACCGTATCCACACTATCGAGATAGTCATCTACGTAGTGATTATTGATGATAGCTTTCGCAGCCTCGGGAAACTGCTCCGCATTCTTGTTTTTTAGGTACTGTGCGATACACGGTGAGCAGGCTGCTCCAAACGTAGCTACATCCATAACGAATATTTGTGGTGTATGTCCCTGTCGTTCCCGAAAAACGAATCTCTGGGTTTGCTTATCCCTCTGCCGGATCAGGAACTGGTGGAACATTTCCCTTGTGTCTCCACTGAAAGCTACACGCTTCCGTCTGAAGCGCAATACTACGTCAATCATTTCATTACTTTCCTTTTTTTTGCTGAATAATAACAACCGAGATTTTTTAGATTTCATCTTGGGAAATTAAGAAAACAAACCGGAATTTCAAAATGAAATTTTCCTGATCACCCTGTTTGAAACTGTTTGAGATTATGCAAGTAACCAATAAGCCTACTAATTCATCTTATTGAAATATAAGGCTGATAATTGGCTAACATGAAAGCTCGGAAACCCAATATCAGTCGTATATTAGTCTTATTTGGCAAAAGGCGGGTTTTTCGAGTAGTAAAAATAGAAAATTTGAACTTTAGGAATCATTCTGCTTAACCATCTACTTCCAATTGTGCTGGACTCACAATCATAATTTATGTTTCACAGAACTCAGAACACTTACAACAATATACAGCTCTATTAACAATACTCCTAAGCCCACCCATAACACAGCAATCGCCAACCTGCTCCCCCACCAAAATCCCCGCATTCAATCAAGGGCTTACAGCTCAAGTAACCCTCCGGCATCTCGCTTATCTCAGCGTGATTTACAATCGAAAATGACGTGTACCAATATAAATGAATATTTGATTAACTCTCGTGTTGCCGCCGATGTGCCGCTTCCCATCCAGCAAACATTTATCGACCTGTCACCGTACATCATCGCGAATCCTAATCCTCCCACTCCCACTGCTGCCAACCACAAGCGGATGAAAGACGTCGTTGTCCCGTCTCTTCCGCAAATCGCACGAACCATCCGAACGAACTCGCGGTTCAAGTACTCACAGATCTTATTGAGGTCGTATTGCGCTGAACTTGCCTCTTTTCTTTTCTTCTCTTCATCAACAGTGCTCCCGCCAGGAGGATTGCTGCTCCATGAGATGTCATTCGTATCGACGCAAGTGTGTAACGTAAATCGGACTGGGGGTCCGACCATACACACAAATACACACAGAGCTGAGGCAGAGAGGGAGAGGCTTTCTTCCGCGAAACAACTAATTTTTTTTCTACGTTTATCAACGGAGAAAAGTGGCAAACGGCGAACCTTCACCACAGATTATACGGTGTGTGGGTGTGTATGATAACCGCCGTCGTCAACATCATCCAGGTTTGCCAGCGGTTTTATTATTGTTGTTGTTACTACATAGCCGCGTGCCACCCTGCTCTTTCCAGTTTGCTTTTATTTTATATTTTATTCCTTTCAATCAACATTTATTAAACATATATTGCTGTGATGATGATGATGAACGATCCTAGATGAAATACTTCGAAGGATATGTTGGAGAGTGAGCGAGCGTGTGAGAAACAGAGGAAAATAAATCATAAATAAAACAAAACTGTGTTTGGAATCATGAGAAGGATGTTTGTTTGCCTATAGGAGGGTACGTGGGTGTCAAAAGAAGAGAACATTCGAACAGGATCAAAGATTGAGGTTCTTGCTTCTGGTGTGCAACCGGTGCACAGTGTACACGTGAGCCTTTTCGATTTGATGGAATATTAATACCAACCTTGGCTTCGGTCCGATCTGAGGCTGCAGCAGTTTGAATATTCCGAAGCCGGTTCAATTAGTACGATGGTTACTCAATATTTATTCATTTCAGCATATTGCTATTTGTTGAATAAGGCTGGTTTTATCATGGTTGGTCATCCATTTAAATATCGAAAATCAAACAATTTTGTCCGCAAATCCTGTTTGAATTTATGCAGGGGAGATGGGGCAAAATACCCATGCTAAGGAAGATCGCCGTTTAATCCACAAAGTGAATCGATATTTCAGTGCAATGCCATCTATATGTTTGATTAGGTTATTGGCACGGTACTACAATTAATTATATGATTTGAGTAGTAGCTTTTCTGAAGATCCGAGAGATGTTGCCCCTTCAGTGGTAGGAATTTTTTTTGCATTATAAGAATATAAAAAAATCCACGATTTGTGACTAAACATGCTTTCACAGAAGGAAACAAATAAACGAGTGTTTACCTTATAACCTTATAGCGAATTCGTTTATTATTAAGTTCCAAACTGGATCGGGTATCAAGATTGGATCTGCTTGTTTTCTGACAAACGTCAGTTTGATCGTTTGTTTTTAAAACCCAGCTCAAGTTGAGGTTCGCACTGACAAAAAGTTCGGTTTCGCACTGTGTTGGAACTGGTTCCAACCCCGATAATAAACGAATTCGCTATTAGTAATGTACTCGTGTAATTTTTGTGCATCTAAAACTGCCCATAAGACGGTAATGAATAAAAACTGAAAATGTTCATGCATTTTCAAATGGTTTCCTACCATTCCCATACATTCGAAAGTGACTAGCTCTCTGGATGTGATGATATCAAAAACAACAAAACATGATTAATTGATATGCTTAAAGAAAATTGATATATTTGTGTATAATTAGTAAAACTGAAAAGGCCAACAAAAACTTGTTTTCGAAATAGGGTTAACTACACCATTTCCGGCCTATTAAGCACAACCCGCACTTAGTCTTTCTTAATCAAGCGCAGTTTAGCACCAAACGGAATGTTATTATTACTGATGGCTTCTAAATTTATTTACCTTTCCGTATGTACCGTAAGATTTGATAAAGAGAAACCAATTGTTGAGATATTGTCAAAAGTCTAACACTTCTTCTTGACGCCATACTCGGCCTACGGATTCTAAACTCAGCCTAACGCATTGAAACGCCAATGAATTCACTTCGGCCTATCGGATGAAGATAAAACATGATTCGGTCGGAGCGCTTCTTTTGATTTTTGGGAATAATGGGTGCAATCTTCATATCACGCGTTCTCATTGACTTCGTTTGGTAGCTTATTAACTAAAGTATCGTACCAAACTGTGACTTTATTAACTCTGAAATCAAGAATTTATTTGAAGTTTTCTGCTTGATAGGCCCAAAATGAGCGATTATGCCGAAGTAGTTCTCTACCCTACTGTGTGGAAATATACGGGCATTCCCCTATTGAATTTCGAAGGTTCACGCCTGATAGTTATGCTATCCACACTACAATTAGGGGAACGCCTTGTAGAGTAAGAAATAGTAATGTAGAAAATAACTACTATTTTAAATAATAAACATGCAATTGGGTATGCAATATAAGATTTTTTATAGTCGATACGCAACGAAACGGATTTTCTGAATACATCCCGAAAGCGAAACGTAATGATAGTGGCGAAATTCCGCGGAATCAAACAGAATTTTTATAATATGCCGATGACTGTATAAACAAGAATTATTAAAAAAAAATGCAAAAAAATTTACACAGCCGAGTTATTAATTTACATATTGACTATAGCATGCCAAAATTTACATGAGAAAACATAATTCAAACATTTAAAAATATGTAAGGATGCGAATGATTGATTGTTTCTTTTTTTATACATTTTGATTTCGTGGTACATATCAAAGAACATCAGACCGGTTTATTAATTTGAAATTTATTAAAGTTCTCATACATTCAGTGGTATATTGCTTTAATTTTCACATTTTCCATTCTTTCGACATCGCCTATAAATTGGAACCACCGACGAAAAGCATCCTAAGCATTGGACCACAGATGAATAATCAACAAAGCTCAAAACAACAAACCCATTAAGACGACCCGGATCCAAAGTGGTTCAAGAATTAGTTGCTTTCTACAGAGGCCCATTCCAAAGCAGATTTCCTCTTCCCATCCAATAAAATCCTATTTCTTATCCAGACGCTCGAGCAGCACTTATCTTCCTAGTGATTCACCGGTGAAGAAAGTAAAAATACCTAAGACGATACTAAGCATAACTGGAATCGTATTGAATTATCGATTTGGGTCAGATGTTTCCCACCTACTTTCTCCGCCCAAGACGACGACGACGACGACGACGACGGCGGCACTCGGGAACGAAAACAAGCGAGTCAATCGTAAACCAACAGCAGTTACGGGTCAGATTAAGTTTCATCTCACAGATCAAACCAAAAACCATTCGCAGTCAGATGGATCAACGAAAGTCGTAAGGATTAAAACATAACCTATTTGTCAGGGCTGTCGGTTGGGTATTCTCAAATTCGTACGGCGCAGCAATTAGGCGATAGTCGGTAATGTTTCTCTCAATCCTACTGTTGTCTACCCCACATCTTGTGCCATATAATCCCAGGCAACCACATATGTGTCACCTTGGATGCTCCAACGAGAAAAAGGTAAATGTACAAATCCACTGTGTACATGTGTTTCGAATTTAAAAGCATTTTCCTGTACCACCTTTGGCCATGCGAGTTGTGAGGAACTGAGCACTTGAGCCGGGTAAGGCCAGGGAAAGAATTCTCATGACTTCAAAGTCGACAATCGGGCAATCAGAGCGGCAATCCAACCCGGCAGGTATAGGTGGAACACGTGCACTGAACATATCTTAGGAAGCGATATGTGGAGCTCGGTATTGTAACAAACACACAATCTGGTTTTACATTAGCTTGGAATGCTGGCGTTGGCGTGGTTAAGGAAAGATGGGTTAAGAAAAGCATCCCAGCATCATTCCGGGCAAACGGCACGGATGCTTTGACTCGAATTACTTCGCTTTGAGTCTTTTTCTTCCAATTTAGGTTGCGGTAAATCTGGTCGTGCCTTTCATCCTGCGGACCTATTTTGAAAGTGATTTTCATATGAATTCAAAGAACAAATGCAACCTTCAAATCCTAAGGCGAAACCCCTCTTCAACAAATACAGCAAAACGAAGTTCAATCATCGGAGTAGACAAATTGATGACAGACAAACACCGAAAATCACCGTGCTTCAAAATTAACCAATCAGCCAATTCGTATCCATAACAGCACATGAACTTTTAAAAAAAACCACTACCGTGGATCCCAGAAAGGCAAGAAACGTATTCGATTCTTCCCGTTAGGCAATGAACCCATCCGTACGTAACAATGCTAGGCATTCGGTGGTAGACCGCTAAAACCACCCACCCCAAACGGGAGATGCACTTCAACCCTTCCCGTATCGTTTCGACGTTGATAAGCATTGGCATCAGCAACAAAATTGATTGCAATTCCTCCTACGGATTAAACTTGAGATACAGCCAACAGTCTTCCATCGTCGTTTTCTCCTCTTCACAGTAGAAGGAACTATTTCGGATTGGTTTGCAATCCTCCTAGCCCCAGTTAGGTACAATAGGCTTAAAAAAGTTTGGCCTCTAGCGGCCATGTTGAAAAAAGTCATAATGATGCCGATTTCAAAATTTTGCACGCCGAGGTTTGAGAGTGAAATCTTACCAATGCTTCTATTTCTCAATTAAAGCTTTAATATTTTTTTGATGATGACGAAAACTCAAGTATTAAATATTGATTTTTTTTTATATTTACTGAAAGCTAAGATAGGTAGATTGTGACTTTTTATGTTCCGTAGTAAAAATCAAATTTATTGGAAATACTTAATTCTAAAAATAGATGCGTTTTAAAACTTCCCTCCCAAACCTCGTCGTGCTACATTTTGAAATCTTCATCATTAGGACGTTTTTCAAGATGATCACGAGAGGCCCAGATTTTCAGGCCTATACATACACTATAACACGTACTTACTGCCACTGCATCGACTCTCGGATTCTTCTTCCAAACAGGTCGAAAACTAGATGCCAAGATGCATCGAAAGAAATTATCCCAGCAACATAGAACCATCCATGAAAATACTGCAATTTTCCAGAAGTTCTAGCAATTTTTCGTGTATTTCTCTGGACGTCCTCGAGATTCTCTTGACTTCCTCGAAGTTCACTGTAGTTTTTTCTAAAGTTCTTAGAACTACTAAAAGCTTCATCATTGAACGCCAAATGTCTGCACATTTTTGAACATGTGGTGGAACATTACTGTAATTCATATATTAAAACATTATATTATATACTGGGTTGGGGGGCAGCCTAAGGGAATCAAAGGATTTGTTGACTGGACGAGGGTTCGTGGATTTGCCAATCCCTTGTCACGTGATTACAGATGGCCATCTGGTCGTTTTGTCTTCCAAAGGTCTTCAATGAAGCTGATTCACCCTGGTGCAACAAACCATCAGGCAGAACTGTACAACCAGTAAAGTATCTGCAGACATTGGTAATCCTTGCACTGATGGTGGGTTCCATTCACATCTCATCACATCATCAGTTCTTAGAACTAAAGAAAGCTCCCACAATTTTCCTGAAGTAAATGCAACTACTTTAAAGTTTTCAAAACTACCTGGATGCTCATGGAACTTAACATAAAATATTTAGACTTTCCAGAAGCTCCCACAAGTTTCTAGGAAGTTCCTGAAGTTGTAAAAATTTCCCAGAATTTCTCCAAACTTCTTTATTATTTCTGTAATTTCCCTGAAGCTAATGGAACT